AAATAAATAAATAAATAAATAAATAAATAAATAAATAAATAAATAAATAAATGTTCAGAGTCATCACTCATAACCAAACACTATTAAATCCATTCATGTCCATGCTGTCTTGTGTAATTTACCCAAAACAACTTCAAACTCTTCTTGCATCATCTCTCAAGTACCAAATCAATGACTGAGTAGCAAAACTTCTTGAAGACAGAGTCCTTGAAAATGACCAAATATTTACATAAATATCCTTCCTACAAATACTATTTTGGAGACTGGACAGGGTGGTACACACCTTTAATCCCAGTATTTGGAGGGCAGAGGTAGAGAGATCTCTGTGAGTTTGAAGTCTACATAACAAGCTCCAGGCCAATCAAAACTCTACAGTGAGACCCTATCTCATAATATACATACATATAGATATATATGTGTGTGTATACACCCATATATGTGTATGTATGTATATATAGGTGTATATATGTATGAATATATGGATGTATATATGTATGTATGGAGATGGTTTTCTGACACGTAGTCAAGGATGACCTTGAACTCCAGATCCTTCTGTCTCTAGCCAGCATGTACCACCATGCCCAGTTTTATGTAGGATCAGAGACTGAACCCAAGATGTCACAATTGCTGGCAAAGAATTTTGTCAAATGAGCTACATCTCCAGGTTCCTGCAAATAATTTATATGACAGGAGAAAACAGCTTGAACAGACTTTCACGCACAAGGGCATTATTTCTGAATACTCTGGTCTGCAATCAATTTTTCTATAAATGCATCCATTGAAATGAAAATAGCGAGGCAGAGAGTTTACAGTATCCTTCAACACCCCCATGCCATCTTTAGATGTGGTGCATATGCCATATACAGTAAACAGATACAAATAAATGCCATTAAAACAACAGTAACAACTGATGGAATGGCTGAGAGGTACCTGCTACCAGGCCTTATACCCTTAATTAGATTCCTGAGGACCAAATGGCTGAAGGAGAGAATCAATTTCTAATAATTGTCCTCTGACCTCCACATGCTTGCTATGGTATGTGAGCATTTGCACGCACATTTATTTTAAAAACATCTTAAAGTGAAGTGGATAGAAATGTAGAAGGTGGGCTGCTTATTTGCTGGCCCAAGGAATAATCAGGCTGAAAACTCCACAAGAGACTCCGACAACTGTGGAACTGTCCACAACCAAGCACACTCCCTCCCTAGAGCCACAGCTCTCTGGAGCCCTGACACAAGTAACTGTATTCCACGAACAGCTGATCTGTTCTGGATTAATCTATGTGAAAAAGAATAAGGTGCAAGAGATCTATTTAATGATGGCAAACTAGCTCTTCATCTCCATCTCGCCACGTTCTTCCAGTCAGACCGCCACTGCTATAAGCCACTGCTGACACTTAAGGAGCAGGAGGGCCCAGCTGTACAGTGTCAGCTCTGTACAATGCAGAGTCCATTCCCATGTGATAATGTGTACAAGCTGGAAATGAGTAATACCTGATTGAAGGGGGCCCGGGGCCCATCACCTAGCAAAGGTGTTTTCTGCTGCTGGAATGGTATTGGTCCTTGAGATGGATGTGGCCCTCTTGCCGGGTTCTGCTGTCCCTGAGGTCCAGGGGGTCCTTGCATGCCACCCTGGGGTGGAGGTCCCAAAGAGCCCTGGGGTGGCCCCTGTTGCCCTTGTGAACCTGAGGGCCCTCGAAGTTCCTGGGGAGGGCCCAACATGGATCCCTGTGGTGGAGGTCCCTGTAGGCCCCGCATCTCCTGGGGACCTCTCATTTCCTGAGGGCCATGTCCCAGCAATCCACTTGGAGGATGAGGTCCTCTCATCTCTTGAGGTGGGTGGCCGATCATCATCCCTTGAGGAGCAGGACCCTGATTCTCCCGAGGTCCTGGAGGTCCCTGCATTCCTCTTGGATTCAGTCCCATCAGAGGTCCCTGAGACACTGGACCTTGGATTCCTTGAGACCCTGGCCCACCCTGTATCCCATGAGGATGAGGAGGTCCTTGCATTCCTCTGGGACCAGGTGGTCCCTGCATTCCTTGAGTACCAGGAGGCCCCTGTGGACCCATGTGGCCCTGAGGAGCAGGTGGACCTTGGGGACCAATGTGACCCTGTGGTCCAGGTGGACCCTGAGGACCCATATGACCTTGAGGACCAGAACTACCTTGAGGTCCAGGTGGCCCTTGAGGACCCAAAGGGCCATGAGGTCCAGGGTGCCTCTGCATTCCTTGGGGACCATGCATGTCTTGAGGCCGTGGCAGTCCCTGGGGAGGGCCCTGGGGTCCTTGTGGTCCCATGAATCCTTGTGGTCCCCCACCTCCTTGATGCAATGGGGGACCTTGTGGTCCCATTTGTCCCTGGGGTCCAGGGGCTCTGAACTGGCCCTGTGGACCCGGGGGCCCCATTTGAGCCACCAATGGCATCTGCTGAGATGGATGAGGCTGCTGAAAACCTTGAGGAATCTGAGATATTGGACCTTGTCCAGAAAAGGCCTGAGGTCCGAGGAGAGGGGTACCAGACGAGGGCGGAGGCTGGATCTGATCAGCCTGCTTCTGTGCAAGCCTTTCAATTTTAAGTTGCTGGAAAGGGGAGGGAAAAAAAAAAAACAAAAAATAATGAGTGTACTAAATAAATAAAATAAGCTAAAGCCTTCAAATAAGACTGCTGCATTGCCTTCTGACATCCACATAGACACCATGGCACACACACAATAAGAAAGTATCATTTAAAAACAACACTAAACAGGTAGATAGAATATCAACAAAAGGCATTATCTCTACTTTCTTAGCTCACACACCTCTAAAAGCTGTGGGTTGGTATATTGCAATGTGGCCATTTCTTGCTCAATTTCTGCTTGTGTTTTTTTCTTTTCTTCCAATTTGATATCCTCTTTCCTGTCATTCAGTACTTCATTTGGAGCAGGAATTGGAACTTTATTTTGCATCCAGGCCTTAGAACAAAAGAGAAAATTAAATTACATAGAAGCATGAAAATTATGATAGGTTGAAAAAATTTCTCTAATATCATCAATATACATAGCTGAACTGTCTTCACCTCTAAAGCCAATTCTTTGTGACATAAGAATAGAGTGGTCTGGTATATTAGTAATTGAAATTACTAAAATTATGAAAGCTACAAGCTGTAGTTTGGTATTCTCAAAGCTCATATGGTGAAGCTTTGGTCCTCGGGTGATGACACTTTGGGGAGGAAGTGGAATTCTAGGAGGGAGGGGCTTGAAGGAGTGAGACGGTCATTGGGGTACACCCTTGAGGGGATACTGAGATGTAGGCTCCTCTCACTCTCTCTGCTCCCTGGGAAGTAAGAAGTGAGAAGCTTTATTCTATCACATGCTCCCCATCATAATATTCTCTCAGGCCGCAGACCAGAGACAAAGCCACACAACCTGGACCCTCTGAGACCGTGAACCAGAACAGACTTCTGCCTCAGTTTCAGCGTTAGCATGGATATGTGTCACACTGACGGAAAGCTGACCTAAGTACTGCAAGATATTACAGCTATCGAGAATGCAAAGCTTTAAGGCTGGAGAGATGGTTCAGTAGTTAAAAGCACTGGCTGCTCTTCCAGAGGACCTGGGTTCAATTCCCAGCAACCACATGGCAGCTCACAACTGTCTGTAACTCCAGTTCCAGAGGATCAGACATCCTCACACTGATATACATGCAGGCAAAACACCAATGAACACAGAATAAAAATAAATTTTAAAGAAAGTATGCAAAGTTTGCTAGCTACTTGAATAAGCTATTTGTATTAATGGAGCAGAAGACAGATAATACAGAAGATGGCCAACACACTCTGCCTGCTTAGTCCTTCTCTTCCCTCTGACAATGTAAATGATAGAAATGAGACAATAGTAAAAAGAGGCCTAAAGAAGGTGGATGTCAAACTTAGTACTTCAGAGCACAAATGGCAAATATGCCTAAAAACAAGAATATGAGAAGGGGGGGGCTGGAGAAATGGCTCAGCGGTTAAGAGCACTGACTGTTTTTCCAGAGGACCCGAGTTCAGTTCCCAGCACCCACATGACAGCTAACAACTGTCTGTAGCTCCAGTTCCAGGGCACCTGACACCTTCACAATGCACATAAAATGAACTTAAATAAACTATTTAAAAAAAAAAAAAAGAATATGAGAAGGGGGCAGCAAAAGAGCTGGAGGAAATCATCCTGAGCAAGTTAGAGGAACAGGTCACAAATCTCTTGGCACAAGGTCACTTTAGTCCCTCACCTGCTGAAACTGAGCAGGAATGGGCTTTGCATAAGGAACTTTCTTCTGAGGAACTTTTTTCTGATCCTTTTGCATCACTTCCTCCATTCCCCAATCCAAGCCTGGAATTGTCATTTCAATTTCATTCGATTCATCTTTTCCTGAAACCATAGAAAGAACTAGGTAGTCCTTTAAACAAAACAATGTAGCCTCTTAATAAATGAACAAACTGTTGGAAACATAATTTTTAAACATTACATAGTTTGAACCATTTCTATTCACATTTCGCAATATAAGCCACGTGAACATTTCAACACCACTTATTAACAAATTAATTTACAAAGAAAATAAGAGAGTTTTACAAAACCTTATAAAAATGAAATGAATAAACATAGCTGTCCTTACCCATCTGTTCTTGCTCCATAGCTAATTTCAGTTGTTCTGGTATTCCCATCCCCGGGATCACTGCCAGACTATTAGGTTCCAGGTCATCTACAAATAATAGACCCATCATCAGAGAGCTTCATAGTGTCCCCTACAAACGATGCTTTATAAAAATAAGTAATATCACTGGGGGCAGTAGCACATCTTTAATTACAGCATTCAGCAAACAGAGGCAGCAGATCTCCATGAGTTCAATACCAGCATAGACTATATAGCAATAGTTAAGTCAGTTAAGTTAGCCAGGAATACACACTGAGAACATGTCTCAAAACAAAACAAAAATGCAAACAAACTAAAAGACCCAGGAGATATTGCTGGTGACTTATAAATCAAAAAACTATAAAATTAAAACTAAAGCTGGGTCTTTTAATCCCAGCACCTGGGAGACAGAAACAGGCAATCTCTAAGTCCAAGCAAAAAAATTAAATTATTTGGTGGTTGGATTATTTGGTATGAGGATTGAAAGGAGCGCATCAAGCACTGGATCACTTAGTTACATCCCTTGCCCTAAACTAGTTTTGTATGAGCCTTCTAACACGTAATGTTTATAATGGAATATCATGAGACTTCAAAGGACAAAAATGCAGATCTTACCATACTCTACTCCATCTTCAGACATGCCAGGTAAAAGGTTCAGATTATATCGATCTCGCATTTTATCACCTGGTCGGTTTCGAGTCCAGAATTTGCTGATGAAATAAAAATAACGGGAGAAAGAGAAGCATGGTTTCAGTGTTCTCTCTGGGCAAAATAGTTCAAATCAAGTTTTAAAAATACTGTTCTTTGAAATATTTTAATTGTGGAAAGAGCATTTTACATCAGAATGCAAAGCAAAACTTAAACTAGAAAAGTTAACGTCTAACTCCATCTCTTTAGCATAATACCCTATGCCAATCACTACAAAAACAGCAGATTAAAAGCTGTAACTCAGAGAAGGAAGAGTCAGGACAAGAAATAATATACTCAGGCTGTGTAGAACAGGACACCCTGTAATCCCAGCACTCTGGAGGCAGATACAGGAAGAGTAAAAGCTCCAAGTAATTTTCAGCTACACAGCAAGTTGGAGTCTAACCTGGGTTACATGACTCTAGTAGTGGAGACTAGAATCAGAGAAAGAAAACAAAAACATCAGAAACACAAAGAGAATGGTAAAAAGGCAGAAAATTATGGGAAAAGAAAGAGTAGGAAGTAAAGAGAGAATAAAGAAGTTCAAGTGAGATCTACAAAATCCTTCACAAAAGCAAATACCAGCAATAGCTACCAACTAGCACTGGGCCATACTGCCGCCCAGCCTGCCTGTGTCAGCAGTAATGACCAGGAATATACTAGCCCTTCCTGGCACGCCATCAGAGGAACAGTGAGCTAGACAGACACTGAGAGGACTGCAGAGTGTGTGCCCAGGGGACGGTTACATTAGGGGCAGACACTCCAAAGGGACAACATTGGCTGTGGAGACTTCAAGGAAAGCGTAGTGTGGGAACCTACACTCAAGAATACATGGAAGGCATCACCTCAGCCACTGCCTACTTTAGCAACAAAACGGAAACATGGGACCTCTCCGAAATCTAGCACAATGTAGCCAAAAGTAACAAATATTTCCAGACTGGAACTTTGTCGAAAGCAGCTCAAATCTGTTTGGGAAGAAAACACCCATAACAAATGTAAACGCAAGAGAGTGTGTGGAAAATTAATCTCCATGTACCAGAGAGAAGAGGATGACTGGCAGGTGGAGGTGTGCAGAATGAGGGATGCCTCAGTCTGGGAACCTCCTACAGAACGCTGAGTCAAACACAGAAACGCTTTTGTGGTTTTGGTTTTGCTGTTGATTTATCAAGGTCTCCCTATATAGCTCTGACTGGCTTGGCCCCAATCTCACAGAAATACACCTGTCTTACCTCCTGGAGTACTGAGATTATAGGCATACCCCCACCACAGAAACTCTCATCAGCAGAGATCTAACCTTTTGAATTAATTACTGAGACCAGTAGCTCTCTCTCCACCTGAAGAGCCAGCTACAAAAACAAAAACAAAAAACCAAAGGGCAGGACAGGGAAAACCAGTCAACCCAGTTAGGAAGAAATATTGACTTCTGCATTATTTCCCATTTCCTTTGACTTATTCATCGTGGTGGAAGAAAATCACTTGATTCTAATTAATATGCAAATACTAATATAATACATTTAAAGGAGGCTATTTAAATACTTGCCCAATCCTAATTTCTATACAACCTGCAGTAGTTTGAATCAGGTTCAACTCAAGCTCTGGTATTTGAACACTTAGTTCAGAGTTGACAGCCCTATTTGGGAAGTGAACGTGGTGTAGCCTTGCCTGAAGAAGCATGTCATTGGAAATTATATATATTTCCAGTTCCCCTTCTCTGCCTCATGCTTGTAATAGAGGATGTGACCTTTCGGCTACCGGCTCTGGCCTTCATGCCTGCCACATGCTGCCATACCTCTGCCTTGCTATGATGTACTCCTAACTCTCAGGAATTATAATTCAGAATAAATTCTGTCTTCCTTAAGTTGCCTTTGGTCATGGTGTTTTGTCACAGCAAGAGAAAAGTAATCAACTAACACACTATCTCAGTATCTCAGTAGCAACCCTGATATCCAGGAAAACATGGAATGAAATATTTCAAGCCCTGAAAATAAACTCCCGCCAAACTGAAGAACACACTGAGTGAATATATATCCATCACACATAACTTTAATTGTCAATGACACAACCGAAGTACACCTGGGAAGAAATAACTTCAAATGAAGAACTATTAGACTGGCCTGTAAACATGTCTGTGGGGCATCTTCTTGATTATTAATTGATGATGGTAGGAGGGAGGCCTCGCCCATTGTCGGCAATACCATACTCTCTAAGGCCTCCTTCCCAAAAGAAGCTGAACATGAACCTGAGAGCAAGGAAGTGAGCAGTGTGCTCCATGGTCTCTGCTCCCAGTTCCTTCCCAACTTTCTCAGTAACGCAGTGTAACTCAGGAGCTGTCAGGTGACACAAACCCTCTCCTCTCCAAGCTGCTCTTGGCCATGATGTTTATCATAGTGACAGAAATGCAAACACCAGGACAATGTCCAAAGTGACTTCATCCCAGGAATATGACTGAATCAACATATGCAAATTAATAAATGCAACACAATACATAAATAAAATTAAAGACAGAAGTCACATGATCATCAACAGCTGTAGAAAAGACCCCTAACAATTCAACATTATTTCATGATAAAAGCCCGGAAGAAAGTAGGAATAGAAGGAAGGATATATTCCTCAATATAATAAAAAAATTTATATGACAAATCTATAGCCAACATTATAGTAAATGGGAAAAAGCTATAAGTATTTTTCCTAAAATCTAAAATGAGACAAGGATACTCATTTCCTCCCCTTTCATTCAAATAATGCTCAAACTAGAACATTAAAAAAGAGAACAAAATAAAAGTGACAGAAATAGGAAAAGAAGTCCAAGTATTCCTATTGGCTGATGACACGCATATAGTTAATAGATCACAAAAGACCCTACCTGAAAATTCTTACCCTAGATAAATACTTTAAACAAAGTAAAAGGATATGAAAGCAATCTTCAAAAATAGAACTTTCTGAGAAAGAACTCTGTAAAAATAGTTACAGCGGATTCAAAACAAAACAAACAAACATGGCAGCCCATATCTATAATCCAAGCACCTGGGAGATGAGGCATCAAGATCAAAGACTAAGGCTTTCTTGGCTACACAGTGAGTTCAAGACCAGCCTGGGATACGAGACCTTGTCTTTTAAAAAAAGAAGATGAAAACTAACCAATGAGATGAAGGACCTCTACAATGAAAACTTTAAAACACTGACAAAAGAAACTGAAGAACTTAGCAGATGGAAATTCCTATGCTCATGGGCTAATAGCATACTGGGATATCAAAAATGATTCGCAGATTCACCAAGTCCCTCAAAATTACAGTGGTTTTCTACACAGTAAACAAAAGGGGGGAGTTCTAAAACGTATATGGAAACAGAAATGAAAACAAACAACAAAACAACAATTCGAAAAAAGTGCCAATTATTCTTAACAGAAAGAATAATACTGGAAGTATTACAGTATTTGATCTCAAATTATACTACAGACCCAATGTTAACAATACTGCATTGTACTGGTTCAAAAATAGACATGTAGACTAGAATAGAGAACTCAGAAATAAACCAACAGGTTATATCCACTTAATTTTTAAAAAAGATTTACTTATTTATTTTATGTAGATGAGTGCTGCTCTACCTTCATGTATGACATTATGTAAGAAGAGGGCATCAGATTTCACTAGAGATGATTGTGAGCCACCATGTGGTTGCTGAGAATTGAATTCAGGACCTCGGGAAGAGCAGCCGGTACTCTTAACGGCTGTGCCAAAGCTACAGCCCCTATATTCACTTAATATTTTAACAAAGGTGCCAAAAACATACACCAGAAAAATGACAATTCAAGAAAATGTGCTAAGACAGGGTAGTGGTGGCACATGCCTTTAATCCCAGCACTCTGGAGACAGAAGCAGATGGCTCTCTGTGAGTTCAAGGCCAACCTGGTCTATAGAGCTAGTTCCAGGACAGCCAGGGCTGTTACACAGAGAAATCGTGGCTCAAAAAACAAAAACAAACAAAAAGGAAAAAAAAAATGAGTGCTGAGAAACTAAATCTCTTATGTTCAGAAGAAATAGGGAAGAAGAGGAACAACTAAGAGCAAAGATTAGTCATATATAAGAATGAATACGAAACCCATTTATTTGCATGCTAACCGCCCCCCCCAATACTGTCTCCTCTAAACTAATTTTAAAGATAATCTGAACTGTCTGGGGGTGGTGGCACACACCTTTAATCCCAGCACTCAGGAGGCAGAGACAGGCAGATCTCTGAGTTTGAAGCCAGCCTGGTCTATAGAATTCCAGGATAGCCAGGGATACACAGTGAAACCCTGTCTCAGGAAAAAAAAAAAAAAGGAACTATAAACATACACAAACACACACAATATATATTTATTTCCAACTACTCCCTGTGTATAGACATCTCTTCTTATCCTCAGTATGGTACTTACCTGGTATGGTCATTTGAGCCTGAGCAGAGAATATGTCCCAGAGGGTGCCAAGCCAAACTCCAGATCATTCCTTCATGGGCCATCTCCATCCCACCTACTTCCTTCTCTACCCTGCAACACAAATGAAAAACACTGCTGAACCAAAATTACCAAGAAATCACCTAAAACAAAAAAAACATACAAACAGAAGAATATTTAAAACATCAAAAACAAAAATATATTTTTTAGTATTTTAAAAAACCTATCATCTCAACAGCCATACAGATGGCTGAGAGGTAAGAGCTCCAACCACTCTGCCTGAGGTCTCGAGTTCGAGACCCGTCTGTGTGTGTGACACTTATGTATGTCATGCATGCATAACCGAAAAAAAAACCCTATCATCTCTTATTTTGAATCTTGCCAGTGCCATGTGTTACACTAGTTTTTCAGCAGAAGATTCTTTCAGTCAAATATAAAAGAGCCATAGAAAATCATGCTTCATAAATTATTTCAACTAAAAAAAATCTATTTTATTCTTCTATGATGATTTCTACATCCAAAACACAAGTGTTGTCTTCTTTTATTTCAAGCTAGTCTCTCACATTAGGACATAAAAAATGCAAAATTTGATCATATTTATATACATTTGAGAACTCTTCACAAACACATTCCTCCTTGAAGTCACTTATAGTCAACATAGCATTGCAAACATCACAGTGCATGATTTGGAGGTCAGTTCAAAACAGACTTTTTAATCTAAACTGAATGTCTTAATGTATGTGTGGTGTGTTTATATATGTGTGATGTGTGTATGATGTGTGCATATGATGACACCCAAGAGAAGGCATAGTGAACTTTTAGGCATCAGTTTTCTCCTTCCACCATGGGTTCCAAGAACAGAAATCAGAGTGGCCGGCCTGCACAGCAAATGCTTCACATCTGTTGAGCATCTCACTAGCCCTAGATCATATTCACCTGCATCGCTTAGTACACTATTTGTCCCAAGTCTGCCATGAAGGACCCTGACTTCGTACTTGGAGAAGTCCAAGTCACATGCAATGGCCATGGGCAGGTGTTTCTAGAGAGCTCCAATGGAGTTGGGCTTCAAAACACGCTAGTCCCCAGCCACCGGAATTTTCCTAGCTGAGGCCCCACTCTGCTGCCATACAATGCGGGAATGTGTGTACAGGCAAACATCAGCACTTCTCCACACAGCAGATGGTACATACCCAACATGCCAGAATAACAAAGAACCATCAGACCCTCCACTGGCAAAAAGCCCTTCGTGAACAGGATGCCAGGCTACAGCTGCAAATCAAAAATACCAATAAAGTTTAAATGATTACAACGTGCAATGGCTGCAAGAAGAGGAATTCCCAAAAATGAGAAACATATCCCAGCCACAGACCTGTGGCTTCCTTCTTATGACCTCGGAACACTTGAAGCTCTTCTTTCAGGTTTCGGATATCAAAAAGTTTACAGAGATGGTCACGTGATGCTGTCAGGAGCCAATTGCCATTGAGGTTTAACTTCACTTCCATCACGGTGTTCTTATGGGCGTGACTAGAAACAAAGCACGGACAGTACACCATGTCAGGATGCACAGCAGCATCACTTCATCAAGATGGTCCTTTTGTTGAAAGCACGTGGATAAAGATGGTGAAAGCTGTGGCCTGGTAGTAACAGAGTATGTGACTATAACTAGATAAGATTACATTTATTGTTTGTTTGTTTTGTTTCTCGAGACAGGGTTTCTCTGTGGCTTTAGAGCCTGTCCTGGAACTAGTTCTTGTAGACCAGGCTGGCCTCGAACTCACGGAGATCTGCCTGCTTCTGCCTCCCGAGTGCTGGAATTAAAGGTATGCGCCACCACCTGGCCCAGCGATAAGATCACACTTAAAATACACTCGAAAACTCTTGTCAATGCCAAGTGACATACAACTTTAATCCTAGCAATTGGGACGCAGGGGCAAGGCATACCTCTGTAAATTCATTGTCAGGTTGGTCTACACAGGTTCCAGAACAGCCGTGGCTACACAGAGAGGTCTTGTCTCAAAAAGAAAAAGAGGAGGAGAGGAAGAAGGAAGAAGATGGAGAAGACAAAGTATGGAAGTAGGCACTAGTTTACAGATGGTTTGAGGGTAAATTTTAATGAAAGGCAATGCTTTGCCCCAGGGCCTGCATAACGTTTATATCCAAGGGTTCATAATGTACTGCGCATGTCGTGTCTAACAGTAGCCTTGTCTTAACTAATTTGAACTATGATGTTTCATTTTCAATTAGGGCCAGGATAAGGCATCCATGTGCACCAAAACAATACATTCATGTAATGGTAACAATTACAAATCATGCCAAGGAGAAACATAGCTACATAAGTAAGCAAGTCTCCTTCAGGGGAGGACAGAGATGGGGAAGAGATGCAAGATGGGTGGGGACAGAGAGGGAAAAAGAGCAAAGGGAGAGTGAGGGAGAGGGGGTAGAGAGGGAGAGAAGACATAAAAGAGAACAAAGGAGAGGGAGAAAGAGAAAGGGACAGGGGAAGGAGAGAAAGAAAACGGGGAGAGAAAGAAAAGATGACAGGAAAGCGGGGAGGGAGAGAGGGCAGAAGAAGGGTATGAGAGGGAGAGGGGAGGAGAGAACTGGCACAAAAATGGACAGACATCTTTGTATTTAGATGGAGTAAGCCAGGGAAAGCTGGGCCATGGCTAGGAAGAGGCAAAGGCACTAAAACTATAGGTGATCGAGTACTCTGAGGAAACAGAGACAACAGTAGGAACCTCATCTTCCTCTCAGTCCTGTAGGCTAACCCAGTAAAATTTAGGTCTGTAGCAGAGCAAATATCATCTTCCTTCACTAGAGATATAGAGAAAAGTCATAATTAACAAAACACCCAAAGACTGAAGTCCTTTGTGGCCAAACCACAGGAGAAAGCTAAGTTAAGTAATGCAGGCTGCCATTGGTCCCTCTTCTTCAAGGGACAAGGCAGGGTTCCTATCACTTACAGTGTTGCAAGACTCTGCCCAGTCTTGGGATCCCAGAACTTGATAGGCTGTTGGCTATCTTTACTTCCTGAAACGACTAACCCTTTGGTTGGATGCCAGTCTACACACTTCACATCAGCACCGTGACCTGTTGGGAAACACGTCAGAACAAAATCTCATTGGTCGGATGCATTGCAAGTGGGGCTCCATTCTAAATGACAAAAGCAGGAAAGGTGCTTAGTGTTGGTTGTCTAGGGTTCTGCTGGACCCAGGGTCAGCATGCCTCCCATACTACTGTGCTCAGTCAGGTCTCTTCTCTGGAAACTACATGCATCTTGCTCACCTACCTGCTGGCAGGTCAGTCATGGCTTTTTGGAAGATGCACTGTGTAGGCTTTTTAAGCATTTAATGCTGGTTATTTCAGTTCTAAAAGTCAACCTGCACTGTTCAGTTCAATGTTCCTTCTTCAGGACAGTCTGGGGAGTCCTAAGTCAGGTTTCCCCACTACCCCTTTCTAACCAGGAAGACAGTAACCATATTCCAGGTTTCTTGCTATTATTTCCTGAAGTACTTGAGGAGAAACAATGTCTGACCAGTTCACACAAGTTAAATATGTGAAAACAAAGAAATGCTACTAAAAATCACAGATGTGAAAAACCAGACTGAACAAGGCAAAGAAATGTTTATGGTTTTGGAAAGGCCATACTGTACAGAGTCAAGGAGTATTTATGTAGTAAATGCATTAAAAAGTAGGTGCAGTGAGAACTCTTTACAATCGTCCAGAAGGCAAAGTGTATTTACCATGCATACCACATGGGTTTGAGCTCAGAACAGTTCTCCCTGTCCCCCTCCCCCAAGATACATGCAGAGGGATGCACCAAGAAAGCACACGTCCTGTGATCTCATCCTATGTTGATGCAGTTTGTTTCTAAACGTTCTTGAGTAAGGTTCAAGTATATTCCAAAACACCTGCCATATAACACAGTAGTACTCAAAGAGTATAATTATTTCATCGACGTGACTCAAATGTGCATAATACTAAGTTTATTTGTTGTTGAAATCAATATGCGTTATCACTGTAGAAGGCAAATACGTGGATAATTACGTGACTGTGCACATACCCAGGTGTAAGAGAAAAAGTGCAGATTCCAACCTAAAAGGTTGATCCTTCCTTCTCATTGTGTTTGTTTTTAATTATCTCCTAACATTGAACATGTTTTATTACTGACATATGATAGGAAAGGGAAGTTCTGCAGTTATACTTTGATTATTATTAAGAAAAAGAAGTGGGGACCAGTAAGATGGATCATTGGGTAAAGACACTTGTCACCAAGCCTGGAGCCTGGAACACCAAGTGTTCTGTCCCTGGAGCCCACATGGTAGAAGGAATCAATCTCCCAAAGTTGTCTTCTGACCTCCACACATGCACCCCTTCTCAACATATAAACAGGGATAGACACACAACATAATTTAAAATATAATTTTTAAGAACGAAAAAAGGACTGGTACATCTGAGCATGGTGGTGCACGACTACAATCTCATCATTTGGGAGGTGGAGGCAGAGAGGAGCTCAGAGCCAACCTGAGCCTGTGCTACACGAGACCCTGCCTCAAAAACATTAAGGTCAGGGGCCGAGAGCAGTAGCACAAGCCTTTAATCCCATGCAGGCTAGCCTGCTCTACATAGAGAATCAAAGCTAGGGCAGCACTATGCAACTGTAACTTGAACAGCTAGTGACAGATCCCGGAAGAATGGCTGGCCAGCGAATCAGTCCAGAAAGGTGAGGTCCAAGTTCAATTACAGACTCTGTCCCAAAATATATGGTGAAAAGTGATTGAAAAGAGATAACCCAAGGTCAACCTCTAACCTCCATATGTGCCCATACTGGCATGTGTGCCCCCAGAAATGAGAGCACCATCACATATACAGAGACAGAAAAAAATAATCAGGATATATGAAACCATGTGGTCCTCCTAACCTGCCTGATGAGTCTAACATGCACAGGGAATATAAAATTTAGGGGTCATTTCCATCTAAAACTATAACACACAGCTATGTATATGTATCAATTTCAAAAATCAAACAGGAGTTTATGCAAAAGCAATATTGGCTCTTAACCACTGAGTCATAAGCTCTCCAGTTGCTGTTGTTAATGTTTTAAAAAAACAGTAATTTGCTGGGCAGTAGGAGCACATGGCTTTAACCCAAGTGGTGCAGCAATCAGGAGGCAGGGGCCAGTGGGTTTTTGGGAGTTCCAGGTCAATTTGGTCTATATAGTGAGTTCCAAGTCAGTCATGGATATTTAGAGAGGAGACTCTGCCCCAAATAAACAATGAAATTAATTAAAAGAATGAAGAAAAATAAAATCTAGTTGGAGAAATGAACACAAATATTTACCTTCCTGTTCAGTTCGACATGCATGAAGACACCTGAAGGGTGGAGCCTAGCAGACAGGAACTAGAATGGGGAGACAATTCATCCTTCAGTCTTGATACTATATTTGAGGCACCTATTTTGTTAGCTTTATTTTTTTTTTAATTAAAAGCATTTTTAGAGTGTGTTTGTGTGCAGGTACACTTGGCTGTGTGGAAGACAGAGGCTGGCATGAGATGTCTGCCTCTATCACTGTCCACCTCAGTTTGTTTTTGAGCCAGGGTCATCCTTTCAGCCACACGAGTAGAACTGTCTGTCCCCAACCCCTAGAGTGCTGGAGTTGCAGGTGCATGGCACACACCCAGTCTCCAGGGCTAGGAGATCCACACTCAGGTCTTCATGTTTGCACAGCAAGTACTTTACTCTCCGAGTCCTCTTCCCAGTCCCACTATAATCAGAATACACATAAATTGGAGCTAGAGAGGCGACTGGGTATCTAAGGGCATTGGCTGCTCTTCCAGATGACCTGGGTTTAATTCCCAGTAACCATGTGGTTGTTCACAACCATCTGTAGCCGCAGTTCCAGGGGATCCAATGCATTCTTCTGTTCTTCATGAGCACCAGGCACAAACATGAACATAATACATAAACATGTCGGCAAAAGAGGCACACACATAATTGTAAAAATAAAAGTAACTTAAGTAACATGTGCGGCCTACTAACATTTGTGGCCTAAAAAGACACAGATGGGACAGACACACGGACGGACACACGGACGGACACACACACACACACACACACACACACACACACACACACACGGTGGCAAGTATGCCTATAATCCCACCCGCAATCCCAGCACGTGAAGGTTGAAGTAGAAGGGTCTTGAGTTCAAAACGAGTCTGGGTTACATACTGAGTTTCAGAAAACAAAACTAAATAAAAAATATACATCTGCTCAAAAATACATAACACATGTATAAAAAGAGCAGACATAGAGCTGGAGATGTAGCTCAGTGATCCAGTACTAACAGGAATAACACACGAACCCCATAGACTCATAAACAAATGCCCAAGACTATGTCCTCCAAGGACAAGTCAGTAAGTTTGGAGACAAGACTTCACTATGTAATGGAATTATCTCTAGCCTAAATATCCAATATCTAAAACTGATTATGTACCAGCATACCCAAGCATCAAATTCTATACTATGAAGCCTGGTTTTGTTTACAAAATTACTAAAAATATTGTATACAATTACTACCATATTATGTGCAGAAAGACTTTGTTTAGATTTGGGTTACTAGCCCTATGATCGATCACTCATTTTACACAATAACTCAGGATATATAGTGCTTTGTGAATATCCAACATTGAGGGACAAAAATCATTTTAAAAAGTCTACTAAGCCAGGCAGTGGTGGCACATGCCTTTAACTCCAGCACTTATGAGGCAGCTGAAGGATAGCCAGCGTTGTTACACAGAGAAATCCTGTCTCGAAAAACCAAACCAAACTAAATGAAAACAAAACAACAAAAAAAAAGTTGTATTAAATTTACTAAGTAACAATGGATCACCTCTGGAAAGTAGGTATGAAATCACTATTATGTTGTGTGTGTGTGTGTTTTTTTTTTTTTGACCTATGTTTATACATATGTCCATGTGTGTGCATGCTGCCTGTATCTGGGTGCCTGAGAAAGTCAGAAGGGGGTGTCAGATGCCCTGGAGCTGAGTTAATGGTGGTTGGGAACTAACCAGTGTAGTGCTGGCAACACAGAAACTCCTGAAGAGCAACATGTGTTCTTCCCACTCAGCCATTTCTCTTGCCCCTATCATTTTTATTTTTAAATGACAGAGAGAGGTAGAAGGCGGGAGTAAGAAAAATGAACCAGGTTGGCACAAAAGCAAGTTGATATGAAATTTATTCTTTTAATTAGTGTTTCAGTATGTTGCCCATGCTAAGTCCTCTGCCCTCAGCCTCCGGAGGGTTGCTGAGTGAACAACTCCCACTTCCTTCTTCAGGAGAGAGAAAACTTTCCATTTCCTGACAAAAAACATTTCAAGCAGGGTGATGGTGGCACACACCTTTAAACCCAGTACTTGGGAATCAAAGGCAGTAGAATCTCTGAGAGTTGGAGGCCAGCCTGGTATACAGAGTGAGTTCCAGGACAGCTACATAGAAAGAAACCCAATCTCAAAAAATCGGAAGGAATTTTATACAATAACTCAGGATCTATAGGAATTGGTCCCACATTAGCAAAACCTAGGGAGGGAGGGAGGGAGGGAGGGAGGGAGGGAGGGAGGGGGCGAGGGAGGGAGGGAGGGAGAAAGAATGGAAGAAATTGAAATGATAACATGAGATGACTTAGCAGTACTTGCCCAAGTCTGATGACCTAGAACCCACACGGTGAAATAAAATGACTTACTCATGAAAATTGTCCTTTGCCCTCCACATGCGCGCGCACACTCACACACACACAGTAAGTGAATGTGAAAAATAGCAGCAAGACTACCACAAATTTATCCTAAAAACATAAATTAAGATTTTTTTTAAAAAAATTTAAATACAGTCAGATATAATAGCACACACTTGAAGTCCTAGTTATTTGGAAGCTGAAGCAGAAGGACCATTTAAGTCCAGAACTTCAAAGTCAGTATAATTCTGTCTCAAAAAAGGAGACAAACCCCACAGCAAAACAGAAAGAACACTTTTAGATGACACAATAGGAAATACATTTTAGAAATAGAATAAGATTTGTCATAGTTCCCAAATTT